TTTCCCAGAGTTTCTCTGTTCCCAGGGGAGACAGCAGACACCCTGATGTGCCTGCGCTACTGCAAGGAGCGGGGAGCTCTGACCGTGGGCATCACCAACACCGTGGGCAGCTCCATCTCGCGYGAGACCGACTGCGGGGTGCACATCAACGCGGGCCCCGAGATCGGCGTGGCCAGCACCAAGGTGGGCTCAGCTCTCACACCTCCCTGACTGCTGGGGGTTATTGCCCCTGAAACCTCTCCTGAAGGGCTTGGCTGGCACAGAGCCCCCTGCTAAATGCTTCCTATTCCCTTTGACCTGTTTGCTGCTGTGACTGTGGAGTTACAGAGCAGCAGCACTYTGCGTGTTCTGKCTTGGAGCTTGCAAAGGACTTTTTKTTTTATCCCCTTTTAAAATGAAATAGAGTAAGGAAACTATATTAAACATTGRAAATAAACAGGTCTCAGAGGCAATGATTCCCTAAGAGGCCAGAATTCTCTTTGCTGTTGTTTGTCTCAAGGTGCAGACTCAGTTTAAACTAAGGTCAGAGATGGAAAAGGAAATTAATRGACAAGATACTGGAAACTTTGACTGCATGTACCTCCCTTACTGGCACTACTTTATCAAAGAAAACGGGACATTAAAACTATATTTTTAACAAATAGGGGAATGGTCTCTCACACTATTTGTGTCCAGATAACATAATTGTTCTATGTGTGATACTGTATAAAATAACTAACTTTGCTCTGTTTCATTTTGATGAAGTGCCTTCTGCATGGTGAAATCTGCTTTGGTTTAGTTATATTTAGAGGTGAGATGATGTCAATCTGTTACATAAATTCAGCCAAAAACCACATTTGAGTTTAATAGTTCACTGGGGAATTTGATCATGGAAAATTCATGAGTCTCTTACAAGAAACTCTTGAACGAGCTGTTTGTCCCTGTTGTTTTCACATGGCCAACAGTTACAGTTTGGAGATAAATGGCATTTTTTCTCTGATGATGTGGGGAGTTACCAAAGTTGTGCATATATGAAGTAGGAACTTGAAAAGTTTCTGCTCTGAGGTTGCCCAGAACTTCCTTTTGAGAATATTCTAAACAGCCCAGGCATGTTAATGTGGCTGCTGGGTGCTGGGTATTTCTTTAGCTGCACAAAGCAGAGCAGCTCCCATTCCTCCAGGCAGTGTAACTGCAGCTGTTCTGGATTCCTTCAGAGCCATCTACATCTCCTCCAGTGTAGCAACGTGGAATTTTTGTCATTGTTTAAGAAGGGACAGAAATACTGAACACCTTGATTTTATTTATCTCTGGGGGACTTCAGTCCTAGGCTGGCCCCAAGCCCATTTCATAACTTTTGTCTTGCAAGGGTTTCAGAGGCCAAACTGCAGCTGCTCTTTCAGTGTCCTTCACATATTTAGCCCTCCTTTCACACCTGTCTGTGCAGGGATTCCCCCCAAAGTCAGTGGCAGCAGGCCCTGGGCTTTTGTAGACACTGARTCTTACCCAGGGGAAGAGTCCAGCAGAGTTTGTTCTTAAAGAAGRGAGGTGGAAATCACAGCTGCCTTTGTATTCCTTGAGTGTGGTCCAAAAAAATCTCAGCTGGTTGTCATGGGCTTCCAACCAAACATGTCCAGTCAGTGGCCTGCTCATCTCCAGTGATCTCAGGAGTCACTTGCAGTAAAGGAGGACACGGGTATGGTCACAAAATAGGGTTTAGTAGTCACCAGGGAATCTCAGAGTATAAAATCTTGGTTGTTGTACCTGAATTTTGTGGAGAGTGAGGAGATAAACTTTTGTGTCCCCACTGAGATCTGCTCAAACGAGATTTGCCTTGTGAACTCACGTTGATTTTTGCAGCTAACTTGGAACAAAAGCTGGTGTCATGTTGAGAATAAAGGCACAGCCGGTGTGAGGATTTGCCCTGGTGTGTGCCATCCCCTGGCTGGTGCAGCAGTGACGTTTCTCTCCGTGTCTCCTCCCCAGGCATACACCAGTCAGTTCGTGTCCCTGGTGATGTTTGCCCTGATGATGTGTGATGACAGGATTTCCATGCAGGAGCGGCGCAAGGAGATCATGCGGGGGCTGAAGGGGCTGCCAGGTAGGAGCCCGGGCAGGGGGAGCTCAGCAGAGCTGGAGCCTGCAGACAGGGGCCAAGGGGGTGTCTTGGTTTGAAAGAYAGGTGTTTGCTAATGAAGGCAGGGACCCCCCTTGGAGTGGTGGATATGACCCCCCCCCCTTCCCTCCGAATTATTACAGCTTTGAAAAATCACGGGCTTTCAGGCAAGAATATGGGTAAAAGGGAATAACAGTTTTTACTAATATATATATATATATATAAAACAAGGTGAAACAAGTAACACTGACAATAGCAACAATCAGCCCAGTCCCAAACCCAGTGACAGCCTTACAGAGACACAGCCTCTCCTTTGGTGCAGTTAAATTGCCGTTGGCAGGGATGCTGTTGGCTCCTGGCCGAGCAGGGCGGGTGCAGGGATTCTCCGGAGGCTGCAGGGGACGTGGTGGCGTGGTCCCGGCTGGCTCACATCTCCTGCGGCGCCAATGATTGATACAAAATGGCAGAAGTGGATGGAGAAAAGTTTCTCTGCAAAACTCACAGCGGAAAACGCCGATCTAGCTGGAATCCCCGGCAAGGCACAGGAGAGAAAACCACGGTGCAGCAAGCAGGAACCCAAATGAGCAGGGGTACTGGTCTCCGCAGAAAAGAAGGCAGGCCAGCTTTTCTCCGTAGCAGCCAGCAAGCAGAAAAAAACCTCCTCTCCGAGAAGCAGCGAAAACAAAAATGCAAAAATGCAAATCCCCCCAGCACACAAAAAACTCTCTCTGAGCACTTGGCCAGACCATTAGGGTGTGGCACAGGTATCATTGTCTTTGTTAATCACCCAGCAATTAAAAGGATGACCGGCAATTAATGTATCCSAGCAACAAATGGGAAAGAAAAAATTYCCAAAGAAAGGGAACAAAAGGAGAAGAATTTTAACCCACAACAGGGGGGTGGGAGGGCAGTGGAGCTGTTCCCAGTTCCTTGTGTGGCCACCTTGTCTCTGCTGTCTCCAGACCACCAAACTGGACCAGTAAAACACKGAGCCCAGTGGTCTGACAGGTCACTGCTGCTGTGTGAGAGGGGGGTGTGCTGGGAGACACAGACATAGCACACTCAGTCTGTGTTCTTCCCCTTGCCTCTAGACTTGATTAAAGAGGTGCTGAGCATGGATGATGAGATCCAGAAGCTGGCCACAGAGCTGTACCACCAGAAGTCTGTGCTCATCATGGGCCGAGGTTACCACTACGCCACGTGTCTCGAGGGAGCTCTGGTAAGATTTCTGTATTTAAAGCTGGCTCAAACACGCTTAGCCATACACTTAGAGCTCCACACAGGGAGCAGCATCTGGCTCTAACAGGAGGTGTAAATGCAGCTGTRGCTCTCATGTGTTGGCCAATGGGTTAAATGGAGCCCCTGGCACAGGGTGCCCACAGAAGCTGTGGCTGCCCCATCCCTGGAAGTGTCCAAGGCCAGGCTGGATGGGGCTTGGAGCAAAGGGTGATAGTGGAAGGTGTCCCCCCACGGCAGRGGGTGGGACTGGATGAGTTTTAAGGTCCCTTCCAACCTAAATCATTCCAGGATTACAAATAGTTAAAARTCCCTATAACACTGCTGAGGCTGCTGCTGAAAGATTCCATGTCCCAGGCTACAGTGGGTGGAAAGGGTGAATTTTGCATGTTCACACTGGGAATGCTTCACTGTGACAGGCTGGGCACCCTAATAAAGGGAAAACTGKGCATGTACTTTCCAAACCCATATAACACAGATTTTACATTTGAGGAGATTCCTGCTGTTCTCAGTGCTGTCCCCTTTGGCTTTGCCTGCCCAKTCAGGCTGTGAGGGTGGATGTGTTGGCTGATGGCCCCTTCTCAGGGCTGTGGTGGTTTGGTGGTAGAGCTGCAAGTGTTGGTGGCCTGCAAACAGCCTGGCCCAGCCCAGGTGCACTGCTTGGATCTGGGTTTTTGTGTTGACTCGAGGAACTGAGCCAGCACTGAGTTTTACAAAGTGCAAGAATTCACAGAGATGGTTAAAAAAAAATTACAAGGTTGCTCAAAGTTCTATGAATTTCTTCCCCTGTCTAGAAAATTAAAGAAATCACCTACATGCACTCGGAAGGGATCCTGGCSGGGGAGCTGAAGCACGGCCCGCTGGCCCTGGTGGACAAGCTCATGCCTGTGATCATGATCATCATGAGAGACCACACCTATGCCAAGTGCCAGAATGCTCTCCAGCAGGTCATTGCACGGCAGGTAAGGGCCTGGAAGGTTTGCAGTGCATCAGAAGTGTTGCTTTTAATGGAAAAGTAGTTCACAGACACCCAGACTGTTTGCTTCACTGCCCAAGTGTGAGCTCAGTAAATACTATGGGTATTTCAAAAGCAGTTTTTGCAGCAATTTCAGAAGTCTGCCATAGCCTTTTTAACCCTTAAATACCTGACAGGTGTGCCCAGGGGATGTGAAGCTGTTTGGCTCTCAATTAAGTAATAAATTTTGCCAGTGACACTGCACAGAAGTGAGAAAACAACCTTCCAGACCTGCTTTTCTTCAACACTCCCCTGTGTTGCAGGGACGACCTGTGGTGATTTGTGACAAGGAGGACATYGAGACCATTAAGAACAATAAAAGAACAATCAAAGTTCCCCACTCAGTGGACTGTCTGCAGGGAATCCTGAGTGTGATCCCCCTCCAGCTGCTGGCATTCCACCTGGCCGTGCTCAGGGGCTATGATGTGAGTACAGCATTCCTTCCTTCTGCACTGCTGCTTGCTGCCACGTGCTGGGTGTTGCTGGAAGCCTCTGGGAATTGTCTGTGTGATTGCTTGAGCTGCTGGAATGACCAGGTTCGAGCCTAATCCTGCCCAGTACAGCCCTGGGAGGAGGCTCAGTAYATGTGGTGCAGCTGAGCTGGGATGTGTGTCTGTGGTCTGGTAASAGCACACAAGTTCTGAAGGGCTGATAGGGAGCTGAAAGGAAGGTAATGATCYTCAGGAGGCTGTTTGACAGCTTGGTGTTAGGTATTTAATCTTAACACAGACACTGGCCTCTAGCTGTTAGCAGTGACCTCTTACGATCTGAGCACTGCAACAATGTGGATTCCTCCTTCTTTGGACAGAGGAGTTTAAAAAAATAAAGGTTGTGAACTTCTGCACAGATTGTCCAAAATTGACTTGAGAATATGATGTTGAATTGTTTTCAATTTAAACACAGAACAGACATTCCACACGTTACAAAGTTAAACACAAACGAAGTGTGTAAATACTCACAAGCCTGTTCTTTCTCCTCCCTCTCTGCAGGTTGATTTTCCAAGAAATCTGGCCAAGTCCGTAACTGTAGAGTGAAAGATCATCTGAATCATAGGGGCAAAGGGGAATTAAATGAAAGACTTTTTTTTGGTACCAAAATAACTTGATTTTAAAGCCCCCTAGGTAAATCTTATTTTGGTAAATCATTGTTTGTCTATAAGATCACCATAATTCCATTACATTAGTGATTGTCCACTTGATTCCACATGCTATGTCAATAGCTCTGGGCTTTCTTTTAACAATAGACTGCCATGAAAGRTGTTAAATGGTTTTCCTTAAAGATTGCTGAGTCTTCTTGGTAAGGGGCCCTCCACTWTGAGCTGATGTCATTGTCTCTTACTCAATGTGGCTCATTCCAGTCATTGATGAGAAACCACGAGTGAATTTATCAGTCACCTGTCATGCTCTCAGGCAGTGAAGCAAGACACCAGAATACACAACTGGAACAAGAGCTCGTACTGGTCATGCTTGTGCAGATRTTTTACCAGTGAATGAAACTGCAAACAGGCCTTTAGGGTAAATTCCTGCCTCAGGTACAAAAGGGAATTCAGCTGAGCTGTCACAGCCTCCTCGGTTCTGGGCACATGCTAAATGTGCCAAGGAAGTAACATTGCTCCAGAAGGATTTTATCTATGCCAAAAACATAGCAAGTGACAATCTCATAGCCRTGGTGGCCACAATGCTGTGACCCCAGCACACCCCAGGGGCCAGTGGGACCCAGCCTGGCTGGGACTGGGAGCACTGGCTGCCCCAGTGTGGATGAGGGCACAAAGGAGGTGACCAATGCTCACTTAGAGCTGGTGGCTGTTGCTGCTGTTGTTTGTTTGGGGTTTTTTAGAACAAGTGGAAGTTTTCCTGTGCTGAGGATTTTGCCCTGGAACTGAGCCCAAGGGCATTGTAGGCACATCTGAGTGACCCAGCTCTGTGCAGGGGTTTAGCTGCAGGTCTCTCTCTAGTCTGGATGTGTTTCTGTGTCTCTACCTTGGGTCTCCYCAGCAGAGATGGCACTAAAGCTCCTTCCCGAGGCTTGTTTAGTCAAAGTCCCCTAATGACAGCGAGGGCTCAGGTTTATTTAGCAGCAGTTCTTATGTGACTTGTTTAAAATTGATGAGTTTAAAAAATTGAAGCTGGTTTAAAATTGAAGGGGATGAAAAGGCTCCATAAACATGACAGAAATAAATACCTTGGTAATAGATCTGTAACAAGCTTGCAGACAGTCAGAAATGACACAGAAAAAAGACTTTCAGGACTCAAAACCTGACTTTTTCAGAGTCATCAAAAGGCAGTTATGTATTTTCTAATGCAAAAAGGTGACTTTCCACCCATCTTGCTGGGTTTTGAATTAGATTTACAGAGGCACTGTAAAAACGTGCTACAAGGTATAAAGTGGTGCTGGTGAATATTCCATGTCCACTGCCCCTGAAAAATAGTTTTAGCAGATGCAGTGCTTGRGGTCTGCCCAGTGCCCTGCAAAGCCCAGTTCCCTGGCCCAGGGTGCCAGTGCTGAGCTGTCCCAACCCAGGCTGCTCCCAGCATGGTATTCCCATAGATTCTAGCAATTCTACTTTGTATAAACCCACAGGGTCTATTTTATTTCAATTCAGTGCCAGCTCAAGGCTCAGTTTCATTATGAGAATGAAATGCTGTGTGCCTGGAAACAGCTTCTCAAAGCCAGTGTATGTGTTTATTAATCTGTCATATTCAGACTATTAATTTATGAGCACATTGTGCTGCCAGTGTCTGTTTAAGAACAAAGTAGTAAATATTGCATTTTAATTAAGCAAATGCTGCGTGTGAGGCACTGCCCTGTAGCAGCTGTGCTTCTGCCTAAACATGACCAGTAGCCCTCCCTGCTTCATTGGAGGATGGTAGCTGTCCTTCAGGAAAGCACAAGCCATGGCAGTGCTAACAGGTGGAAGACAGCTCCTTCTTCCTCCTTCTCCTCCTCCCACCAGCTTGCTTGAGAGAAATTGTGCAGACCTTTCCTGCAGAGGGCTGGATCCAGGCTGGGGTCCCCCTGTATCCCCTGGCACAGGGATGTGCAGTGTCACATGCTTTGTTCTCAGAATGGGATCTCATGTGAAACGACCCCACAAGGGAATTGTTTAGTGACCTTTTTCTCTGACTGCAGCAAGCATTGCTTTTACCCTGCCTTGCACAGATGACTGCCTGTGGGCAGTGGGCAGACACCCCTGTGAACACAAATTGCTGTTCAGTGGAGTTTGTTAATGCAGGCTGTTACATATTTGTGAAAGTTGTGTACAAAGAGGACCAAAGAACAGGAGTCTGAGTTAGAAATGTTCAGTCTGACATGGCCATGTCAGTGGGACTGTAGAGACAGTGTGAGCTCTTTGGGTTTGTGCTGTGCCAGACAAATCCTTATTTCCTTGTAGCTGGGGGCATTGATGGATCAGGGGAACAGGTAGTGCCCACCCCTCTCCTCCTGCCAGCAAACTGTCTGCAGTGTGTCAAACTCTGGTCTGCCAAAACAGAGGGTTCGTAGCTATTGCAGTGAGGCTGAGGGATGCTATAGACTCAGTCTCAAGGATGCTCTGGAGCACACCTGTATGAAGAATTTCTCTGCTGAGCATGGCAGGGAACCCGTCAAGCATCTCGTTGTTGTTGTTGTTGCCATGCAGTGTGAAGTGAGAATGTACAAAGGACTCTTTTTAGCTTTCCTTACCTCATWTTGTCCATGTGTTGCATTTCGATGAACAGATGATGTTTCTCTTTTCCTTAGAAAGCTTTTAGTATATCTCATGGTATTTATTAACAGCCAGTCAGTCTTCTGCTCTCCCAAATGAATGTTTTGCTTACTGAGCCAGTAAAATTCTCTCCTTCCTCACTGAGGTGTTGAAAAATTCAGTAGCCCCATCTCTAAAATTGAGCCACAGGTAAATACAGACAMAGGCCTTTGCCATCTGGAATAGCAGCTCCTATTCCTGGCTTCTTTGGTCACAGTTTATTTTGGTGAAGTAACTCTGTTCCTCACCTGCAGAGACTCAAATGAAAGCCCTGAGATCTTGAGGGGGTTTAATTGCCAAAGACCAGAGAACTCCCAGCTCAGCACATGTTTCTGCCCAGCAGTTCTCAGACAGATTTCACACTGCTGAGAAGATGCCACACACACTGAAATTAAGCTGCATGTGGGATATGCTGAACCAGATAGGTTTTTTTTTTTCCCCTGGCTCTGCTGCAGAAGGGCTGTGGACAGTTTTCCCCAAATTTGTCATAGTCAGCACTGTCTGTGCCCGTTCTAATCAAAAGCCCCAGCAGTGCCTGGGTGGTTGTCCCTGGGCAGGTGCCATCTCCTGTGTGTGAGATGAGGATGCCCTTCTGCCCAAAAAGCTGCCTGGACATCCTGAATTGGGTCAGGCTCAACCCCTTGGACTGAGAGAGCCAAAAGCTTCCCCCAGAGCCTTTCCCAGCCATGTGGGATGGAACTCATGGGCCTCACACAAATCCTTGGTCTGGAGCCTTAAGCCCAGCCCAGACACAGAGGTCTGGCTAAGCTACAGAGTGAAGCATCTGAAGGTCTAAGTAAAACCCAGACCAGCACAGAACTGAGTTTTTCCCCTCCCTGGCTGTCCTCAGGAGTCCTTGATGCCACAAGTAGGTGCCCGGTGGCCTTGTTGGATGGAGGGAGGGACTGAAATTAAGTAGCTTRAGTAGCACGTCAGTGTTTAGCTGTGGCTAATTTTAGATCCTACCTGAATGTACCAAACTTGCCTCAAAGCATGGAGTCCCTCCTCTTCACCAGAAACAGGAAAAAGAAGAAACAGAAGTATTTGGGTTGAATAAAAGGAAAGAAAACTATCTGCCTTCAATTCAGATTCTGTAAATAGACGTTTGAGTGGCAAACCCATATTTCCTCCCTTGTAGATTCTCTGCCTCTGCTGTACATATCCAGCTGGCTTGGGTTGTGGGGACCAGACTGTACCATGTTTCCTGTCATGTGCTGTATGCAGATGTCTTACTTTTGTCTGTAGTGTTTTAATATTTGGGTTTTGTCTTTTTGCTTACTTCTTTTGTATCTCACCCTTTGAATAAAATCAAGTGCCCTACATTAAATGAACGGAATTACTGGTCTTTAGTTAAATCCATGAAGAACAGGTGTAACCCCTGTGGAAGTTAAGGGCTGGGTGTACAAAGCAGAAAATCTCAGGTCTTAACTTGCTCCTCTCCTGACCAGCCAGGCTATTTTCAGAGATACAGCCTGTATTTCATATTTCACCTGCCCTTCCCTAACTGTTTTTTTTTCCACTCTACAAGAAAGCCCATGAAATCCCTGTAAGGCAGAACTGTGTACCTTAATTCTTATTTAATTTCCCCTTTTCTGTCACTGAGACAGCTGCAGTCAGCACAGCCATACCTGGCCCGTGCTCAGGAAGTGTTACCCCCATTCTGAAATTTCATGGCTTCTTTTCCAAAGGAAGGAAGGAAGGACGAGCCTTGTTGGGTGAGGCTGGGCCCAGAGCTGCAGTGCTGGCACCTCGAGGGTCCTGTTCTGCTCAGACCCCACTGGCATCTCAAGAATCCTCTTCTTTGTTTGTGCTCTGCTCAGAGCCACGCTGGAGGCTCAGGGCTGGCTCAGGGCTCCAACATGCCCARGTGGCTCTGTAAGGGAAACCCACAGGGGCACAAGGCTGGCAGGAATTGCCCCCTGCTCCAGCTGCAGTGTTCATGGGCTCCTTTCCCCGGGGATCTTCACCTCTCCAGGAGAGCAGCAGCAAACCCCGCTGAGTATTTTCTTAGACAAAGCGAGGGCTCAGGCTTCTCCTCTCAAATACCTTTCCTACACAAAAGCCAGCATGGAAAGGCCTGAGGCTCCTCTCCAGGGCTTCCTGCCTTGGAAGAGTGCATGTGTGTCCTTGGGAGAACAAGAGTGGGAGCAGGACCCTGCTCTGGCCTGTTCAGCTCTGCAGGAGTGACCAGCTCTCCCTGGTGCAGCAACAAGAGCAGGTCCAGGAGCAGGTCCTGTGTGTGTGAGGGCTGCTCCTGGCTCTGGGTCACAGAGGCTGGGGCTATGCTGCTCTTGGCTCTGGGGACACTGAAGGAGCAGGGCACGGTGAAGGATCCGGCCTGGGAAGGTGGCTGGGTGGGTGCAGGATCTACCCCAGGTGCTCCACAGCTGCAGCAGCCTCTGTGTGTCCCTGAGCCTCGGGGAGCTGGGCTGTGTCACCTCCTCTCTGTCCCAGGCCCGTGTCAGCTCCAGGTTTGTGTCACTCTGTGTCACTCACCCCAGGCTGTTCCCTGGGGAACATGGGGGACACTGCCAGCTCCATCCCCCTGGGCCAGCCAAGCACACCCCACCTCCAGCAGGCACAGATGGTTGTGCAGGGCCCTGCCCAGTGCCAAAGCTGGGTCCTGGACGAGTCAGACCTGAGCTCTGCTTGCCAAAAACRCACCCCATTTCCTTAAACCCTGCTGTGGCAAAAGGCAGGAGGATGAGGGGCCGAGGACAAGGCCCCGAAATGAAATGCTTCAGCCCTGCCCAGCTGGGCTGGGGCAAGCTGGCTTTTGCAGATAAATCAACTCCCAGAGGCAAAGGAAGATTCCCAGGCTGGCAGAAGCATTTGAATAAATTCCATGGGAMTGACTGCTCCAAAGCCCTCCTGGGCCCTGCCCCGCTGGGCCCCTTGTGCTGCAGTCTGGCTGCCCAGCACAGGAGCTGCTGCCTGCACCCTTCTCAGCACCTTCCTTTGCCCTCTGCTCCCCTTCACTGGGATAAAGCAGTGCTCTGTGTGTGTGAGGGCTGTGCATGGCCAGCCCTGGCACTGGGGGTCATTGCACACCTTGCCCAGCACACCTGGAGCCTTGTGCAAGAGCTGCTGGCACAGCAAATGCCCACGGAGTTCACCTAAATGGCACCTGCCCCTGCCAACGCCATGTCCAATGCTGTGGGGAATTGAATTGTTGCCCCAGATCCCTTTGGACAGCACGTTTGGAAAGGCAGCAATGCCCAGCGATGTTTTGCTGGGCAGAGGTGGGCACGGGTGGGAGTTTTGCTGTGAGGCTGATTCCTGGTCAGCAGAGTGCTGGAGCTGTCCTCACACCTCAGCCCGTTCACAGATGCTGTGGGAGCTGTGCCCGTTCCCTGCACACCTTGGACAGCTAAAGCTGTCTGTAACTGCCCTCCCCAGACAGCCAGAGCCACGGGCAGCCCGGGTGTGAGGGCACAGCAGTGACAGAGCCACCAACTGTGTGCAGGGAGGAGCAGGGGACAGCGGGGAGCTCCTGGGAGCAGCACCCCTGCAACTCGTGGCTCCTGTGGCTTTCAGCAGCCCCACAGCAACCCCGGGGCCAGAACAGCATCTCTGGGGCCAGAACAGCATCTCTGGGACCAGAGCAGCACTCCAAGGGCCAAAGCAACATCCCTGGGGCCAGAACAGCACCCCCGGGGCC